GGGGGGGGGGGGGGGGGTGGGGCGATCTTAGGTGAGTTGCCACAATCTTTTCCTAAGTACTTGACCCATGCGCAGACTCGTGCTTGCGCTTCATTCTTTGAAACAAGCAGCTGGAGGAAGGACTGGTGGTCAAGTGGTCAAAGGAGAATCAAGTGAGGTTTAGGGGCGAAACATAAAAAAAGTGAAGTGATTTAGGGAATCAAAGGAAGGGCTGAGAGGGGGTTGTGTTAAGTGTAGAGAAAAATAAAGGTGTTGTAGTGTGGCAGGCTTTACAGTGTTGTAGAATAGCTTTTAATTTCTTCTTAACGATGTTTGAAGTACTTAAATAATTTGTTTATTCATTGCATACATTTATTGATGGAAAATAAATTATTTAAAAAAACAACACAAGAATAATGTAGTGATTTATTGTCAGATACAAACATAAGAGATTCGTTCCTTTTTACTTGAGAATTTTTAAACAACTAAATGTAACATAAATGAAAACAAAATTTTTACACATTAAATATGCTAATAATATTCACAATACACACCCTTATCCTATTTTAAACCAATTTTTTTTTTTTAAATCGTATTTACCTGACCCATTCGGCCATTTTCAATAACAGTATCTTTATCCTTCTAGTATAATTCATAAATTGATAGTCCTTCTAGGACGTTAGAAGTTATCTTTTTGTATACAAACTTTCAGGTATTTTCTTCCCTACATTTTTAGTTTGTCGACTGTTGTGACCTATACAAATTTTGGACTCAATAAATGCTCTAGTGAGAATGCTGTCAATAAGTCTCCTAATGTTGAGAACCTCATTCAAAACGTTAAGCCCATACTGCTCACCGAGTTCTTGAACGAATTCTCACTTTGCGAAGACGCACCGCTTTCTGAGTGTTGGCTTAAATTTCCTGTCCCCATACTGCCTAGTAGACATGAATCTCCAGATGAGCCTCTAGCATCTGATGGTTCTACAGGTTCCAGAACATGTTGTTGTCTTACAGCAGTTCCAGCTCTTTCGGGAATATCTCTGCACTTATTGCCATGCCTATTTCATCCAGCACAGATGAAGTTTTATCTAAACATGAAAGAACCTCTGCTGTTTCCGCTGGTGCCATTAACGTGTTGTCCTTCGACAAACAGCTCAAGTGCTTACCACTTCTCTTTGCAGAAATTCCCATTCCAAAAGGGTGAAAAGGATTGTGGGGGATGACGTTGAATATCGTTCTCATAACTTCTGGCAGTAATGGTTGGCTTCGTCTTGGTGACTTTATGTTAATCGTCTGACCAGGTTGTATAATGGGATCATCTTTATTAATGAGAAATAATATTTTTTTTTATTGTTCATCCCTTTGTGGATCGCGCCTGCAATTGATGCGTACGCCGTGCCCGTAGGGCAGCATGACGAAGTGCTGGCCGTCGACACTCAGGTGATCAGAAAAACGTTGACTGGTGGCGATCATTGCTTAAGTGTGATTTGCTACTGTGATGTCAAAAACGGCTTTGCAGTCATCCGGGTTAGAACCGTTAAGGACTCCAGCGTCTTATTTCAGACGGCAACTAGCAACTACACAATTAATTCTCACACCAAAATACGAACGCCTTGAAAAAAATAATAAACATGGTAATTTTTGTGGTTCTACTAGATTAAGTCAAATGAAATGTCTTAATTATTTTAATATCTAAATAAATTATTAATGGCTTACACATTTTATAAGAAAAATTCACGTCTCTGCAATCTCATTTTTGCTGGCGTTGATGCATTAAGTATTTGACCTCATCTTGCCACATGTTTGCACTATAAACCTGCTTGACCTCTTGACAATGTGCACATGCATGTGTCATATAACTGATGAATGTTTCCAGATCATGATCTTCATATTCTGTATCTCGGATGTAAAAGTAAAGACTTTTGTGTTTGGCAACCAAAGCAAGTTCATCATTTTCAGAAAACATCAAATCTCGAACCCCATCGTTTTCTAAAACAAATACCAAATATTCATTTTTGTACTTCTGAAATTTTTCTTGAGAGTTCCCCCAATTTAAAATCATTGCATGTTCGTATGCTGTCAACATATCATGGTGGCCATCATCAGTCAATTGTATACTGCTTCCAAGTTTTAACATGTAATCAACAAAATCTTCAGCAGACTTCACAAAGCGCGCCGTTGTCGTTTCAGCTGTCGTCAGATTTAATTGTCTGATAATTATTCTGTAATGGACCAAGGAATTCAGCACACGAAGCCGAAAGTCATGTTGTTTGGCAATCTTTTCCAGTATTTCTTCAGCTTCTAAGGCTTTTTCATAAGCTTCCAAAAAGTTTTTCCTGGACAAAAGTTTTAAAAAAATCAGAATTAATATATAATGTGGAAAATAAATATTTTCAAATAGTTACATATTCTTCCAAGTGTAGACTGCACAGCAAACCATCTATTTTTGCTAATCTCACTGAATTAGTTTTTTTAAATATTTTTTTTTAATATTCCAAATTGCCTCTTTAACCTCTAATAATCATTCATAAATATTGATTTTCGACAAGGGTTTTGGTTAGGTTTATATGTTGTTTTTACTATTTGTTTAACTAGTTTTATTTTTGAAAAAAAACATTTTTTTGAGTAAGTGACATTATCTTAAATATTTTCACTCTTCTCAAATATATAAATATATAAATTATATTAGGTGACAAATTTAATAGAAATAACTCAAGTTGTATAATATTGTATACATTTATTTCCGTGCGACTTAAGACTATTTAAGGGCACATTACGCTAACAAACATTTTCTCACTGTTTGATACTCAGTTCAGCTATGTGAGCCAATGTCAAGGCCGTATAGTAGTGAACACCTGCTCGCTCTCGCTGAATTTCAAGTGCTTTTTCCAGGTATCTTTTGCCACGATCTGGTCATTGAAAATAAATGTTTTTTTTGTTTTTTTTAATTAGCATTTTTATCGTACATTTTTTTCTTTAATGCACCATGGTCGACAAGGTGCATCACACCATGAAAATAATTTTTTTGAATTTGCCATTTTGATGAGGTGCATTTTCACTAAGCAAAAAGTATTTCAAAATATTTATTATATTAAAATAGTACCAAAATGACTGCTTAAGTTCTACGAGAATGTTTTGCTGTTTGAATCAATCAAATATAATTAGATTAGACCCAAAATTAAGGGACAATTTTAATGTTAATGGACATAGTTTAATTAGCAGTTAGTGAACATTAGCCAGGAAAAATAAAAACGACCCCTAAAAACAAAGTTGTTCGTTAGAAACATTTCTAAAATGTAATATGGGCAATGGGAGGGTGAGGGGTAAAATATTTACAAAAAATAGATACTAGTAACGCACTTCATAAGAATCCCAATCAGTGAACCAGCTATTGCAGAAAAAAAAAAAGAAAATAGTATTCTCCAATCTCACTAGTGAAGTTTTTTTTAAAAGAATCCCATATTAGCACAGTTATAGGGAATTTTTCTTCGTGTTGCCCATGTAAAACAGGAAATCCAGATTTTTTGTTGTTGGGGCTGAAACTTTGAAAGAATATGTTGTCATCGGCAACAAGTCTTCGTGCCAATTTTCATTCAGCTCGATAGCTTAACAGAAAGTGGGTCAAATAGCCGTCTGAAGATTTTGCCAGCCAGCCATCCACCCACGAACGAAACTAATATAAAGGATTTTTTTTTTTAAAGACACACCATTCAACACTTTGATTGTTCACAGCTTACCCAACTGATTAAGTCTACCGTAGCACATTCCTATATTGTTCAGTGGAACCACCATGTCTTGGGGGCAGATCTTTTCAAGGTAACTTCTCTGTATGTAAGCTTTTTGATACCACTCAAGTGCACCTTTCAAATCTTTGTTGCCTATTAAATGTTATTTATGAGAAACTCATTAGAGACGACAAGAGAATATTTTAGCAATGTTTTAGACAGCAGTTGGTTGGGCATCGTACTAATCAATTGTTACTGGATATCATCTATTTGTTTTACGGTTTTGTTGTTGTTGTTGTTTTTTTTTTTTTTTTTTTTTGTTTTTTTTTTTTTTTTTTGTTTTTTTTTTTTTTTTTTTTTTTTTTTTTTTTTTTTTTGTTTTTTTTGGGGGGGGGGACTATTGACATCTAATCAAGGATTCATATTCAATAACATTTGATCTAACCCTCCTTACAACTATCAAATATCTAACATATCCTAACTGGGAATAAAACATGCAAACCATCCTAAATACGACAAAATGTATAACCAATGCTCACTATGATAAAACATCGAATTCATCCGACTTATGCTTAAATATCTCATCCATCATAAATAAGCTAAACTATTTACCGCATCCTTACAACTATCAAATATCGGACCATCCACGCTATGATAAAATATGTAACCCATCCCAACTTTGATAAACATAGCTAAGCCATCATAACAATTACAAAATATCTCACCCATTCTAACTATTATAAAATATCTAATACATCCTATTTATGATACATTTTTTTAACTCATCAAAACTATGATAAAATGTCTAACCCATCCTAGCAAATGATAAAATATCAAACCCTTTCTAGCTATGATAAACTATCGATGATAAAATATTAGTAGACCGACTATGTCTTTCAAATTGTCTCAACTGTTAGCACTAAGCCTCACCTCTTTCGATTGTTAGACCAATGTTGTTAAGCAGAATGGACAACTCTGGGTGATTGGGACATCTTGAATCCATCTCATCTAACAAAATGTGAAGTTTCTCCCTGGCTCTTTCATTGTCTCCTGTGTTGCATGAATACCAATGAAACGCAAAAAAAATATAAAAAAATATAACACTATGGTAATGAGATTAAGACAAAGTTAGTTATGTTCAAATTAAACTAAAAAGCTTAACAAATTTTTTTTTAAATGAAATCATACTAATTTAAGCTATATTTAAATATTAAAACATCATCTTTAACAAAGTAACAAATTATAATCTTTAACTTATTTTCAAAATTAATTAAAATTTTAATGAATTAGCATTGTAACGACTCTCCATGCTTTCAAAGTGTATTTCTTAGAAATAGGATGATTTCTTCAGACTATGCTGTTCCTTTCCCTATAAAAATGCATTAATCACTAAAAAAAAAAAAAACAGTAGTATGTATGTCTTAGTTATAACTTTGAGAATTTAGGTATAAAATTATAGGAATTAAGCATATATTTCAGAAAATGTATAAAAATGTGAACAACCATAGCAAAATGTGCGTAAAATAATGCATGTGTGTGGTTTTTTTATTTTTATTTATTTATTTATTTTGACAAACCCAAAAATATTATTGGAACAGCTTCAAGAATTTCAGTTGTTATTTCGTCCTGTTCTTCTTGCTGTTCCGAAAGTTTAAGAATTCCATCAATCTCTCCGGGTATGTCATAGTTAGTGACTTCCTTAATTTTCATGAAATACCTGGACGAAAAAAAAAAGAGTAATGAGTATTGTAACTTTCTCTCTTTAAACATACAGTAAATGTACGCTATAGCCACCTCTCTGTAAAGGTCTTAATAGAGAGAAAATAAAATAAATGTTAACATCGATTGCTTATCTGGAGTGATTTTTTAAAAGGTCTTTTGTAAAGGTGAGTAGCTTAATTAATTTAAAATATGATATGGATGGCCTAAATTTGAGTCCTTGTTAAGACATTTAAAAATTGTAACATCTTTTATATTTATCACGCTTCTGGTAGACTGCTTCCATTTCCGGCTAGTTCCAAAAAAGCTGGCTGCTTCCTACTCAGAGAATTTCTTAATTGGATTGTTTTCGTATCTTTTGATATTAGCTTTGTATTTTGTGACGTATACTTGGGTATGGCGTTGTTCATGTTGTTATGTTTTAGCAGGAGCAGCAGTGATGGAGTCCTTTATTTGATAAGCGACGTTTGCTACATGAATCATTGGTTTGTAAAATAATTAATAAAATGTATTATATTGCAAATAATTTTTTTATGTTTCATAAAAGTATGGTTTGATAGTTAATTCAATAGAGTGCAAAATTTAATATCCGATAATCACGCTAATTGATTTTTATTTCTTCGGAAAATCAAATCGTCCCAATTTAAGTATGGCGTCATAAACATTCGGTTTAAAAGTTGATGGGACATGAGAATATTAATATAATTCATGGGCGTGAAATAAAAATTGTGCAGTGACGTGTCATGTCGGAAGGGGATAGCAAAAATTGAGATTCTTAAATAAGCATTACTTGAGTTTATGTTTTGTCAAGTAACTTTAGTAGACGGGAAGTTCACGCATTTCCGTCACCAATGTTTGGAGGGCTATAACTTGTAAACATTAATACAATCATAAATCTGTAGGACGCGATCGTGGATGTTGTGGTGTAAATTAAACTCATACAATTGTGTAAGCAGATACAGGATTTTAAGAGAGTTTGAAGAACTTATTCTGTAGGTGGAATGCTATTATCTTAAATAATATCTCTCTTTGAAATATATTTGACAAAGATTAATTAATATAAACATATTCAAAATGTTTCCAGATGAATCTCTCCTGTTCATTATCAATGGAAAATTTAAACTTTCAAAAAGATTAAAATTTACTTCATGGATTCTTGGTTGTTTCCTTGTCTTTGCAGAACGTTGGCTTTTCTTGCAAGTGCCCACTTGTAATAATGAACTGGACCAACTTGTTTCAAAGTCTCGATGGCAGAGTCCAGGTACTTCTCTGACAGCTTCCAGTCTATTCCTTTTTTTGAAATTAAATAAAACATGGAAATCTCAGCAAACAAAAAGAAAAGAAAGGAAAAAATCATTATTTCCATTAGCGGCTTGTCATATTTTCGTCGCATCTTGTCACACGTGTCACATCTTGTCACATACATTTAATCCTGTAAGATGAAACTAGGTCCTGTGATGTTGTATGTCCTATAAGCTTACCGGTGCCAGAGGCTGTGATATGCCCCAGACATGCCTCTAGAACTGCTTGTTGCTGTGGACTGCCATACTCTTTGGCATTAATTAACAGTGCCTTGTAGAAGTCTTTACATTCATTGGGAAAACAGTACATAACAAGACGCCTTCCATGTATAGCAACCTGAAAGACGAATGATATTATATTGCAATAGTTTAGATTTGTTGATTGAGGACTAAAAAATACTAAAATACTTTATTTCTTTTCTCTTTTTCAAAACCAAGCTCCAAGTGACTTGTGCAATCTCCATATTATGATCGAAGCAACTTCTAATGCCGAGAAAAATAATTTCCTCACAAGAGCCCAAGTTCTCGAACCAAACTTATCGTTGTTACTGTGTTATCACTTAGGCAATAAAGTATTAAACCAAAGAAAAGGATTTTATACTATTTTATCACTAACATAAAAAAAATTTAATATATATTTCATAGATCACAGAGTATTATTTTATCATTGGCAAAAGGATAGTTCAATCATTATGCTTAGATCTCTGTAGTAAATGACCTTTAGGAAAGCATCGTAAGTCCCTGATGTACAGTTGATGGCTAGTTCCAGTACGTGACGCACGTGAGGCCATTCCTGGGCCAGGCACCCGTACACTTGACCCTTCTTACCATGGAGCAGGATGTTTTTCTCGGTGTTCTTAAGTAGGTGACACACAAAGACGGTGAAACTAAGAGTAAAGAGTGATGAGTAAAAGTAATCTTGAATTGAATTTGGGTTCTTGACTATATACATAAAAACTCTCAGGTTTCGACAATGTTTTAGGGTGCCCACTAAAAATGCACGCTAATATTTTATTTATTTATCTAAATAATGCAAGTAGGCCAGGTCAATTTAATTGAAAATCTTAATTATTGGAAGGATGTAAGTTTTAAGAACGTGACGCTCAAAAAAGGTAAAAATAAAAGTAACGAGTGATAAGCGAATGTTAAAAACAAGTGACACTTAAAATAAAGTTGGAATCTTGAAGATATACAAGAAAATCTCAAAATATTTTCTGACCTATTACAGGACTGGTCTTTAATTTCTAACGTGCCCTGCGTTTTGGCAATCTTGCTATAGTAGACCAGCAGAGGATGGACAGCTAGTCGGTTGCCGCTTTCATAAACTGCACGAAACACGTAGTTGTCTTTGAGTCGCTTAAATAATGATTGCACCCATTGGTCGAATCGGTAGACATCCATTTGTGTTTTTAGAACTTCAATTAAGTTTTCTAAAAGGATACAGAAAAAATAATGGCTTAGCTACAACTCAAAGGTTACCGCAGAGAAAGATAATGACAGAGTTACAAGGGATACTATAAAATTAAATCAAAAGAATACTGTGTTAGTTTAGATTCTTACTACACCATTGTATTTATTTGTGTTATGAAAGTCCCTACCCTCGGTAAAAGTTGAGTCCACGGAGCTGCCAAAGTACATGAGAAGTTCTAAGTCATCTTTCTGCAGCCAACCTTCTACGTCATCGACTCTCTTGTCAAATATCAGAGACTGGAAATGTTCATCCACCAACACACGTTTTTCCAAATCTTCTGGACTAGATTGTGTCGCATAGTCAACAAGATATGCTTCCGCAAGCCGAACTACAGCTTCTGGAAAACACAAAAACTTCTGACAAATCTTTATATAGCCTGTCACGTCTACACCAGGGGCGTGGTGTTCCAGTAACGCCTTGATGTCGATGGGGTCAGTTAACATGTAAACCTCCACAAGTCCAGTGTTTAGACCTGAAAGAGGAAACTTCTTGAATGTTGAAAACACCACACTGACCATGAAACCAACTGACCACCAAAATTTGATCATTTTTGTCAAAAACGCCAAAAATTCATGGTCTCTTCCAGATGTTCTCAAACTCTCACATTTGTGGAAAACAAAAATATGATGATGTTTTTCACAACGCTGAAGCAAAGATTGAATCTGACTTAAGACGAACGCCTCCGTGTAAGTGTTTGATGAAGTACTGAAGGTGCAGCCCTGCCGTATTGTGGCCATGACGGTGGCAAGGATGTCTTGCAGTGTAGCAAGTCTCTTACACATGAACGAGTGGTACAGGAATCCATCGTGTTGACTTTTGAGCTGTGATTCTTGCAGTTCTTGTATAGCCTAAAATATGAAAAAATCAAGACTACTATTAAAATATTTGTTTCTTCATTGAGAGCAACATTTCTTTTTTGTCTAAAGAAACTATACTTTGATTCCATTTTCTGAAATAAACATACTTCTTTAGTTAGCCACGAGTTGATCACTTTTTAAGGACATTTAAAGTACACAACATATATTTTTCAAATTGTTAGTACATTTTAGTCCATTGGAATCCATGCATAGTTTCTCACTATTTTCTTTCATTAAATTGTTTTACTTATATATTTTGCCACAACCTGTTTCAACATTGCACCAAAATAAAGGCGTTGCATAAATTTAGGTTTAAAATTGCATCAAATTTTAATTTAATTTTCTTTGGGTGTTAAATGTTTTCTTCCCGAATTATTTTATTTCCTTCCCTGTAATAAGTAAACATTAGTATTTTAAATGGTTGCTATTACAATCAAGTAAATTGAACTGTATTTTGGTTGGGGGGGGGGGGGGTTAATTGCTGAGTTTTAAAAAAACACAAGTTTTCTGGGGGGGGGGGGGGGGGTTAATTGCTGAGATTTAAAAGAACACAATGTTTCCAATGTAACTATGGTAACAATGCAACCAAACAACCATTGTTATCAAGTTAACCAATGTAAAAAAATGTAATTATTATAACCAGACTATACTACTCTGAAATTCCCCTGATAAATAAGTCACTCTATACTATACTTTCTATCGAAGACGAGTTGAAATCCACTAAAAGTTTGAAAAATAATACAAATATTGTTCAAATGCATTACGCAAAGAAAGACTGTGCAGAAATGTAGGTTAGCTCTCTGTGTAGCCAAAAGATTCGAATTTAATGGAAACGAAGCTTAAATATCTTTGTATTACAACAAAACCAAAACAAGATGGAAATGCGAGTAGACAGAAAGACTTAAATTTTTTAAAAAATGAGCAACCTGCTATCAGATGAAAATATCGTTAACATTTCTTTTTAAAATAGAATATCCTCTAACTTCAAACAATTCCAATAATTTATTGTTAACTTAGATGTGTATGGAAATTAATGTTGAACTTGTAATGCAGATTACGCGTGTGTTATAATAGCAATTACCTGATCAACTAAAGTTGATTTCCCCACCATGGGCGGCCCACAAACTTGAGTGATTGTTCCAAGCTTTGTGATTGATGATCTGATTGAATTATGAATATCTTTTCTGATGATTGGACCAAACACATGTCGCACTGGCCTTGTCGTTTCTGCTAGGAGTTGACGAGATATATCACCGGGGTGTTGAAGTTGCTGGCTGGAGGAGGCCGTCGGTTGTGTGACTTGAACATGGTGAAAGTGTTGGTGTGGGTCATCGTGCCTAGGGTAAGACGTTGTGGTGTATTCTCCTCTTTTGTGGGTGTCAGTCTGGTGGTAGTGCGAGCCTGGATTGTGGAAACGGTTGTGAGGTAGATCATGGGGATGTTCTTGTAAGGCCTGTATGGACGCTTTTATAACCTGCGTAAGCGCTGGTATACCTTGAGTGCGCGCTGGTATATATTGAGTGGGAGCTGGAATACCCTGTGTGGGCGCTTGTATACCCTGAGTGGGGGTTGCCATACACTGGGTGGACGCTGGTACACCTTGAGTGGACGCTGTTATACACTGAGTGGGAGCTGGTATACCTTGAGTGGGCGCTGGTACACCTTGATTGGACACTGTTTTACCCTGAGTGGGCGCTGGTGTACCCTGATTGGGCTCTGACTTATTCTGAGCTTTGTAAATAATACTGGGATACGGATCGGTCATGTTCTGATCGTAGTTGACTTCCTCTCCCACATGGCGTGCACGATGAAAGCCCTGATCTGGGGCAGTCCATGCCTGAACATGAGAACAAAACGCCGTGATATTTTGAGGACTTGGTCTCGCGAGAGCCGTGTCTTGTTGAGCAAGCTGTTGACCCATAAACCTGCCAGACATACAGCCACCGCTTGGGGGAGAGTTCGTTCTTGGGGGTTTATCCCTAAAATGTCCTCCAAATAAATCATCCATTTTTAACGAAGTAAGTGAAATGAACAAAAAACTATAATTGTACCGTTGATGGCGTACTTCAATAGTTTGTGATTTTGAGCAGGTACTGCTACCTGGAAAATAAATTAAATATATTAATACATAATTTACTACTTAAATCTCTCATCATGGCCAAGGGCCCCGACATGAGCATAAGAACCCAAGACTGCGATGGAGGGGGTGGGGGGGAACCACCATTGCAGAAACATAGTAATTCCAGGGGCCCATTATTCTACAAGTCCAAGTATGCTATATTGTTCATTAGACATACAGTATATGGTTGAAATGGCTAGAAAGACTTTGCCATTGTATGCTTGTACTTAGTTTTTGTAGTTTTGCGATTGTTTTAAATGTGGTAAATTATAGATTATTTTTTTGTTGACTTTGTACCGCGCTTCGAGCCTTTGGGGATGCAGCGTGTTTTTGAAATGAACTTTATTATTATTATTATTATTATATCTTAACATAGTAAGCATTGGTTTAACTAGGTTTAGTACCCACCCCCTTCTCCCCCCCCCACTCGGGGGCGAGCAAAGCTTTTATTTTTTTTTGATGTCCCCTTCCTCTAATAAAATTCTGCAGTGACCGAAAATACCCTCCCTCAATATTGAGAAGAAAGAGTTCCGCCTCCTCTGCACCCTCCTTTATACGCCTCTGATAGTAAACACTTTGCACTATTCAAACTCTCAGGACCAAGGTTTCGGGCTCAATTCTGTGCTCCGTCTCTACCACCCTGTGCCTCTTTTTCTCCATTGCAGACCAAGTAAATGAAGTGCATAACTATGAACTAGATACTGCACTGTTGTCAAGACTGTCCTAGCTATATTTTGTCCCTAAAAACCCCTTGTCTTGAAAAGAAACTGACATAGTCGAGGTATAAATAAGGGGAGTAGACGTACTACACACATAGAATTGACGCGCTACACACATCGAGTAGACGTACTACCTACATAGAGTAGACGTACAGCACACATAGAGTAGACGTACTACATACAAAGAGTAGACGCACAGCACATAATAGAGTAGACGCACTACACGCATGATTGAACCCGAGTGTTGCTCAAAGCGTCACGGGGTGTTGGTTTCCTTTTTGCTTTAATAAAATCTCCTTCAACCCCAGTCCCGTCTGCTCATGAACATGTGACGTTATTTGAGATCGTAACTTAAATCGATAGGGGCTCGTGAACAGGTACAATAGATTGATAGGGGCTCGTGAACAGGTACAATAGATTGATAGGGGCTCGTGAACAGGTACAATGGATCGATAGGGGCTCGTGAACAGGTACAATGGATCGATAGGGGCTCGTGAACAGGTACAATGGATTGATAGGGGCTCGTGAACAGGTACAATGGATTGATAGGGGCTCGTGAACAGGTACAATAGATTGAGACTGGAATTATGGAAATCAAGCACAGGCATAATATAGAAGGAATTCAAAATAACACCATACAGTAGAGGGTGAAAAAAATTGGGGGGGGGGGGGAGGGGTTTTTTTTTTTTTTTTGAGAGGGGGGGGGGATTTCTTATCATTGAGTCTTAAAATTTTGAAGCTAATATCAAAATGTCAATGCATAATTAATCCAACAGCAACAACAACGAAAAAAAACTACTATATATGTTCTGATGTGTTTGATAAATCAAGGAAATGAACGAGCTTTGTGAATGAAAATAACGATTCGAATTATATTCATTTATTTATACATTTGTAGTTTCGGATCGACGAGCCCCATTGGAACAAATCCGAGAAACGCCTACGTGGTAGCTGCTGCATGTTTAAAACATCGACGTGCTCTTCACTAAGCTGAGCAGTCAATTCTATTATGCGAACACACTCATCATTTACACAGCACTTAAGTACCGTTATCAATAAATAGTCCATCAACTCTTCGTTTGAATACAACAACAAAAATACGACATAATGAATCTGTGAAAATTCTTCTAGCAGAGCCGACGCTTAATTTTTTTTTAGTCACCACCCCCCTCCCCCCCACCCGGCAACCCATAGGGGCCACTTAAGTGCTTTAAATATATATGCCACTTAAGTGCTTTAAATATATATATATATATATATATATATATATATATATATATATATATATATAAAAAAAAAAAAATATATATATACCACATATATGTGTTATATATATATATATATATATATATATATATATATATATATATATATATATATATAATAAATAAAAAACTTTTACAGACTACAGACTACAACACATGTTTGGAGTAGGGCTGTCAATGGATACCCTTGTGCCCGTGCACCCGCCCAGAGGCGTAGCGAGAGGGTGGGAGGGGGGCAGATGTCCCCGGGCGCAAGCTAGTTAGGTGCGCCATATATTATCATATAATATATTATTAGTAAAAATAATGGGTTTGAGAGTTGAAAAAAAGAAAAGGGGGGCGCTTTAAAATGGATCTTGTCCCCGCGCGCGAATCTTGTCCCCGGGCGCCAAAACCCTCTCTACGCCTCTGCACCGCCCGCGACTAAATGCCCGAGTTATCTGTAGGGTACCCGATTTTAATAAATTACTTTTAAAATCATAAAAAACTATAAAATTTCAAATAAGAATGTTGAAATTTTGACCCTCTACCGCCATCAGTGCCAGAAGTCGGCTCTCAAATTCCTGCTAACGCATGTCTGCAATACTGGGCACGTCAGGGGGGGGGGCGGGAATTGTCAAGTAATAATGCTCGTCCGGGGGCCCAGCGACTAAACCACTTAGGTTCTCGCCAGAATGACACGTCGTTAACTTTTTTTTAACGAAATCTGTATGGGTAGATCTATTTTTTCGTTAATGAGTTACGAGAGTTCAATGGTCTGCATGTCTATCAAAGCTCAGAGAACACGCGAAAATATGCTAAGTTTACCTGACGAGCAAGTGTAGATGATGAAACCGGGTG